TTAATATATCCCCCCCACTTCCAGGTGCCATTTTAATATATCCCCCCCACTTCCAGGTGTCATTGTAATATACCCCCCACTTCCAGGTGCCATTGTAATATATACACCCCCCCACTTCCAGGTGTCATTGTAACTAGATAATCAATGTCATTCCCTTCACCTATTAGTGGCCATAACGTTATGGCTGATCAGTGTAGTTATATATACATATATACTATGTCCATCCACCATTGAAATGCTTTAGACTGTAATCCTGGCGGGAAGCATGGGTTATTGAACAGTGGTGCCAGGGGGGTATGAGATGAAAAGATCCCCTCCTTAACCCGAAACCTATCCCATATATACATATATACTAGGGCTGGTAATGATTAAAAATTTCCTGTTCGATTAATCGAAATTTTGTAAAATCGATTAATCGATTAATTTCGATTAATTTCAACGCACATACAGATCCAACTATATTGGACTATACACATACAGCACAGCAATGAAGTAATAAAATGAACTAGGATCACACTAATCCAGCACATTATTAATCTCACGTGCCCCACTCAATATGGCCACCGCTTGAGTGGGGCAACTCAGAATAATAACGTGCTGGATTAGTGTGATCCTAGTTCATTTTATTACTTCATTGCTGTGCTGTATGTGTATAGGCCAATGCCAGGGATCCCAACCTGAAATAAGAAATTTCAGGGAGGTGTCCCTCTCATTTCAGGGAGGTGCCCTCTCCCCCCCATCCGCGGAGGGGGGGTTAGGGGGGGCTGGGAGAGAGCACCCCCCTGAAATGATGGCAGATAGCACAGGAAGCAATAGCTTCTTTGCTATCTGCAGACTTTTTTTTTTTTTTTTTTAGTATTCTGCCAGTTGCAGTTGTCAGAATATTTAAAAAAAGGCATAGGAATGCATAGCTAGATTCCTATTGGCAATTTCACTTTGCAATAGCCTATAGCAAACTAGCTATTGCACCCGCCCCCTGCTGCTTTCAATCACCAGAAGAGGACCTGATAGAAAAAT